CGCGCGCGCGGTCGGCGAGTACCAGCCTCCTGCGGTGGCGACAGAGGCGGAGGGGCTTGCGCTTGCACCTTTCGAGCAGCAACAGCACCGGCTACTTAGGCGTGCGCAAGCAGGTGTCGGGCCGCTTCAAGGCGCGGCACAAGGTGGACGGCAAGGAGGTCTACATCGGCGGCTTCGGCACCGCGGTGGAGGCGGCGGTGGCGTATGCGCGGGCAGTCGGTGAGGACGGGTCGGCGGCGCCGCCGCGCCCCGCGAAGCGCCCGCGCGAGTCTGCCGCTGCGCCCGCGCTAGAGCCCGCCGCCCCTTCCTCCGCTCCCGCCGCCGCCGCCGCCGCCGCCGCCGCCTCCTCCTCCTTCTTTGCCCCTCCCGCGCCCTCCCTGCCTCCGAGCCGCCTCTTCGAGCTCCTGCCCGACGGCCGCACCGTCCACAAGGAGGCGCCTCCCAACAATGGCGGCATGGCGGCCGTCGCCGAGGCGCTCGGGCGCATCGGGCTGCAGTCCTACGCCGCCGCGTTTGACTCCGAGGGCTTCGACGACATCGAGTTTCTGCTCGGGCTGGACAGCGCCGAGCGGGCCGCTGTGGCCACGGCGACGGGCATGGATGCGAAGCCGGGGCACGCGGGGAAGTGGGTCAAGTTCGGCTTCGGTGGGCCCTGACGCCTGAGCGGAAACGACACACCATCACCAATTTCCCTGCCGTGCCTTCCTTGACTGCTGAACAGCACTGCTGTCTAACTCTAGGATTGTTTGTTTTGGGGGGGAGGCGGCGTTGTCCGCCACGTATTACCTGTGTGTGCGTCTCCCGGGACGCGCCTCCCAAATCGTGTCGGTCCTTCGAGGACGCCGTACGCCACCCTAGGGTTCGGAACGCACTTTCCTGCAGCTTTCTATCTTCCGCCAGTTTGTCTTCATGGTCCTTTCCTCCGTCCTTGGCGATAGAGCTTCAGAGCTCGCAAAAAAGAAAATCGTTGACGCGCCATGTCAGGCCGGATAACGGCTTCGCGTCTGACCGCCAGAGCCTTTGCACGAAAGCCACTACTCGTGGATGGCGCCCGCTACAATCACCTCCGTGCTAGTGACCGGCCACGACGACAACCTCGGCCACACTCGGTACCGAGTTGAGACCCTTCTCGATCGCGGCAGCCCTTCCGTAGTAGTGTCGCGCCGCTTCTCGGCGTGGCTCTTTCTGCACCGATCTCTCGCATTGCCGGGCCTCGGGTTCCCCGACAGGAAGCGCCTCTTTCACGGCGAGCGCATCAAGCAGAAGCGCGCCGCACTCCTGCAGGGCTACCTCCGCCAAGCCCTCATAATCAGCCGCGATCACAGCCAGCTCTACTCCTTTCTCGGCGTGGACGCGAGCGCAGTCGAGACGCCGCCCGCCGATGAGACGGTCAGACCCACTGCCGAGACCGAGGCGACCGAGGCGGAGGCCAGCGCGCCATGCTGTGCACGCAAACTGCTTGCGCCCATTGCGCTGCCGTCCGCGCCGCCCGTACCGCCGCCCGCGCCGCCACCAGCGCCGCCACCCGCGCCCGCCATCTCCGGCCTCGACCTGCTCGAGGCGTTCAGTACGCAGCAGTACAGTGTGCGCGCGGCGCGTTACAAGGAGTACGTCCTCGCCGCGCTGCAGGCGGCCGAGGTGTCTGGTGACGCCGCCGCCTTCCAGGCGCAGCTGCGCCTCGCCTTGCAGTCGGCCGGCTGCGCCGTCGACGACGACCTCGGCGGCGGCAGGACGCTGCTGCGCCACGTGTGCGACGGACGGCCGACGGCCAGACAGGCGCTGTGGGCGGCGGCGCTGCTGCGCCTCGGCGCTTCCCTCCGGAAGGCGCAGCTGCCTACAACTGCCGCCCCAGACCCCGACCGGCCGTGTTTCGCCGCCGCTCCATCCGAGTCACGCCGAGCCCCCCCCCCCCTCCCTCTCCCATCTCGCCCCGCCCTCGCGCCCCGCCCCTCGCTGCCACCCTCGCCGCTGCCGCCCGCGCCGCCACCCTGCGCGCCAGAGACGCCCGCCAACTTCCCGCGACTCGCAGGCAGACGACGAGGGGTTCACCCCTCTAGCAGCGGCGAGCTTGGCAGGCAACGCGGTGCTTGTGCAGGCACCTCGCCAGGGAGAGGACACGCGTCTGTCTGTGGCACCCTCCCCACCCTCCCTGCCTCCCCACCCTCTCATCTTTTCCCATTCTTTCTCTCTTTTCCTCTTTCTTTTTCTTTTTTTTTTTTTTTTCCTATCCTTTTTTCTCTTTTCTCTTATTTCTTTTCTTTT